AATAAAATAATTATAAAAATAATAAATATAAACCGAAAATCGCTAAGAAAATAAATAAAATAATAATAACGATAAAGCGATACGATAAATAACGATAACGATAAACAACGATAACTTAAATAATAAGACAAAAAAATATGAAAATACTCAATAACAACACAAAAACAACATAAAAACAACAAAACAAAAAGGCAAACACAAATACTTCTACAAAAAAAAAAAAAAAAAATTAAGTAAAATAGAAAAACAGGAATCAACAATAAAAATAATTAGTACAAATAATAACAAACTTTACGCAAACGAAAAAAGAAACACAAAAACTACAAAACGAAATGCATACACAAAATGATAATATTTAACAAATATAATATTTAATATAATTATTTTTCATAATTAAAATAAAATTTAAAAAATGATAATTACAACAAAGACTAGCTACAAAAATATTTCTAAAACTTGATCTTTTCTTTCTTCTCTTCCGCTTTTTTGTTGGTTTCTTCAGTTTTTCTTTTCCTTATCTTTTTCTTTTCTTTTTCAATTTTTATCTTTTCTTTTAGTTAAATTTAGGTGAATAAAAGTTCGAATTTTTTTTTTTTTTTTGTCTATTCTATTTAAAGTTTATATGACGTAAACTCTCTCCTTCTCCTTTTTATTTGGACTTCTCTTTTTTATTTGGATTTTTTTCGACGTTTTTTTTTAATTTATATGCACTTAATTATTATTATTATTTCTTTTTTCGTTAATTTTAATTTTATTCTTTTTAAAATTTCCTACTTTATTTACTGATAAGATTTGTTGTTAAGCTATTAAAATTTTTGTTTAAATTTCTTTTTTCTTTTTCTTTTTTCTTTATCTTTCCGTTATAAAAACACGCCCGCCATCGTCGAAGAGTCTCCAAGAATCTTATTACACAGGGACTAAAATGTTTCAGTATGTGTTTTTTTCCAAAGATCAATATAATCAAATAAAATTTGCAGCTAAAACTCAAGGTAGTGATATTTTCCCTCCTTATAAGTTGGTATCAGCTGAAAAATCTCATTGATGTCCAAGTGAAATATTGTAAACTGAAAATTGCATCGAAGTAGAATGGAAGTATCTATTAAGAGATACTCTGGAAAGAATTTGTAAATTACAACATGAACTTATTAAGAAAGCTATTGTAGAAATTAATGTTGTTCAATGCATATTTAAAGTTTCTTATGGCTTTGACGGGGGCACGCAACAAGCGAGATCAAAATCTAAGTTAAACTTTTAGTTTATTATTTGTGACATCTATGATTCCTTTAAGATTGCAAACAAGCTGTGGAAAAACTTTATGGACTAATCAAACTCCTCCGTCTACTATATTTTGCCGTCCACAGAGAATTGAATTTGCAGAGGAAAGTAAAGAATATGTAATTGGATTAAAGGAAAAATATGATAAAGGAATTGCTGAACTCCAAGAGGTTGTGATTATATTAAGTCTGGAAAGAAACTATTTATTGAATGTAAGCTGTGTTTGACGTTAATAGATGGAAAGATTCAAACATTTATTACAAAGACATCTTCATTTCAACGATGTACTATGTGCGATTGTTCATTAAAAGATATGAATAAACTAGTAAATTTCACACAAGGAGTATTTAATGTTATGCTAGTAGTTCTCCAATATTGTTTAAGCATTCTTCACATTCATATCCGCTGTTTCAAAACAATGTCACAAATTTCTTATAAGTTAGTTTAGCCTGAAAATCAATAGCAAGTACATGGAAAAGAAAACGAAGCAAAAGTAAAAGCAAGGAAGATTGAAATTCAAACCCGATTCAAAAACATTTATATAGACACATCCCAAAATCAAGCGGTGACAATAACAATACAGGAAACGTTACAAAAAGATCGAAGATCCGAAGCTCTTGTCTGAAATTTTAGACATTAATTTGGAGCTTATTCAAAGGTTAAGAGTACTTTTGTTGTATATTTCTCATCGATTTCCAATTGACCCAATCAAATTTAATGAATATTGCTTTTCAACAGCATCGGTATGATAAATTATATAGAAAGTTTTTTATGACTTCCACAAACTTTTGATACATGGCTCACATTTTGCATCAAATTCAGAAAGTAGAAATAAAATTTTTAGATCAGGTAGAATCAATCATGCTTGAAAAGATAGTCGCTAACATAATTTGATGTATTCGCATTTGCAATGGAGACTTCAGATCCAATTCTTTCAAGTTCAAGATTACAAAAAAGAATTCAAAAGTACTAAAAACATAAGATGCCATCCGAAGTAAGAGAACTCTTAATCTTAAATAAAAATATTACTAATGAAAACTTTGGTGGTGATTCTAATAGTGAAAATGATATGGATAATTTCGAAAACAGTGATTTACATGAAACAAATGTAGATTCTGAAATATATCAATAAAATGATGTTATGATTTTTTATAATAAAAAATAGCAAACGTGTTGCAGTGTTTATTGTGTTGAACTCTTAACCCAAGGGGTTGTGAGTTCAAATTTTGCTTAAAGAATATAAGCGTTGTCAAATAGGAGAGAAAAGAGAGTACTAACTTATTAAATGATCTATGATAAGATCATTAGGTCTTCTTAAAGTTTTCTTTAAAAATGAAATACAGTAGAAACAAAAATCACTTTTATTTGAATATATATATAAAAAAATAAGATCTATAAATAAGAATAAAATTGAACGAAATTTTACGTACATTAACTTTTCTCTATTATTTGTTTGCAACATAGATAGCAGCATAGTTTTTATCTTTTATCAGCATGGTTTTTATCTTTTGTAGAAAATATTTTATTTATATTTTTTTCAACAAAAAATATTTTTGATTTTTTTGATTTAAAAAAAAAAAAAAAAATTTAGTTGCTATACTGCATAATGATTTGTTATGTTTTATTTTGAGTTTCACTTCTGAAGTAAGTAGTGTCAAATTTATGATATATTTAGTGGTTATAAATTCTTGGTATATATTTTTTGTATATAATATATAGATGTTTTTATTGTAGAAGAAAATAGAATTTTGTTAAGGGCTTCGTGATAAGATCATTACGATCTTCTTGAAGTCCTGTCCGTATAATATTATAAATCTTGATGTAAATAATATTATAAGGCAAATAAAAAAAATTAATATATATATATATATATATTTTATTTTACACTTTATTTTGAAAATTTGGGAAAAGTTAGGGGGAGGGGGGACACTCAGTTCTTCACTCCACACCACTCTCCTTTGTTTCTGCATTCCCTTATATAATAATGCATTAAATTTTAGTTTAATTTTCCGGAGGTTTTTGATATAAATTGTATGTATATTGAAATAAATAATTTTGTAAAAAGTGAAAAAAATCACTGAACGTCACTTTATTGCTAAAAAAAAAATGCTCATCAGACTCTTTTTTGAAAATAAGGGTCACAATTCTTTCAAAAATCATTTAATTATTTTTTCATTCAATTTAGAGTACTCTTTTCTGTGCAAAATTTCTAATTGATTGGCAGTCTTTTTGATTTTTGGCCATTTTCCCTTTGTTAGGCCCTATTGTGCATTCATCTTTTTGTTAACACGACCTTGCATTTTTAATTTTAGTTTATTCTTTCTGTTCATAGCTTGTAAAGCACAATTTTTACTCAACTTTTATCTTAAATGTAAATACTTTTTTTGTTTAAGTGGTTAGTACTTTATTTCTCTACAAATACTTATATGTAAAAATAAACAGAAATAATTGTGTTAAGAGGTTGTTTTATACAAATATTTAACTAACATGTGCTATTTGAGTTTCTTCTTTTTATCACACAAACATTTTTATTTAGAATATCTAACGCTCATGTTTTTTGTATTACAAAAGAAAATCATATAAAAATTACAATAATGTCATAAAATCATTTTTATTAGTAAATTGTAAATAAACTAGGTTATTGTCTATGCGTGGGCTTTAAATATGAAAATAGCCAGTAAAAACCGGTGTTTATTGCAAAAACATTTCGGTTTGCAAGAAATATTGGGAAATAAATGACAAGTTTTGAAAAAAATTCTTAGCGAGAAATTTTTATTTTTTGCTCTTGAAAGTTGTAGAAAAAAAAACAAAGTTTCATTTATTTCTCGAAACTTTGCAGATGTTTTCGAAAATAATAGCAGATTTCTGATGAGTCTTTATTGATGAAACACAGTGTTAAATGAGAAAAAAATTTTGCTCAGTGATTTTCTACTATTTTGTAATTGCTCTGTTCTTTTAAGAACATTGAGCACTCTTTTTGTAGAATACATTTTAAATTGTTTATATATATATATATATATATATATATATATATATATATATATACATACATATATATAAAGAAAAGATAATTCTTTCATTGAAACAAAATCTAAGCTAATGCTGAACTTTAAAAAATGAAACTGTTGTCGCCATTTTAGTTTAAACCAACTTTAAAGTAAAATGGGAACAGAATTTAAGCATAAACATTATAGATTTTTTAAAAAAGATTTTAATGAGTAAAGCATGGGATCGCCTAAAACGCCGAATTCTAAAACGCCGAAAAGCCGAAAAAAAATGGCGTAATAATAGAATTCGGTAACCGTCAAAAAAGACAACGAAAAGTTAAATATCCCCCGGATTTTTAATTGCGCATTTGTAAATGCAAAGTTTAAAAGGACAAAAGCCAAAGCCAAATTTGGCTTTTGGTTCTGTCTTTTTAAACAAAATTTACTGCTGTATTTTATTTTTTAATTTTACATGTTTTGAATTTTTTTAAATTTAAAACAATAATTTAAACATTAATAACGCGGGGGTTGACTACCGGTAATTCATTGCTCTCATTTCGTTTTTTATTCTGTTACTCTAAGATGGTTTTTCGGCATTTTGGCTTTTCGGCGTTTTAGAAACTCCCGTAAAGCATTTCTGAAATATCTTTAAATAAATCGTCATCTTAATTGGTAAGAAAATCAGGTCTTAAAGCCTGCGCGATGTGTAGACACGCGAGCCATTGCCATTAGCCATAATCCATTGCCTAAAATAAATTTATTTCAATTTGTTTAACAGAGGTTAAAACCTAACTAACGTCGTAAATTATAATCTTATATGAAGTGAGTTAGCCAGCTGTGAAAATTATTCAGCTAGCCAGCAACCAAAATATTATTTAGCCAGCTTGGGCTGGTTAGCCAAACATTTTAGTAAATATTTTTGGGACGGTAAATAGGGTTAATAAATTATAAATGTAAGATTACGTTTTTTGTTTATTTTAATTGTTTAAAAACTTAGCTAAGACTAATCTTACTAATTTTTGTTTTTTTAGGAAACGTTATTTTATTAAAGTTTTATGAGACTTAAATATAAAATATGTTTTTCCTAAGCTAAAAATCTAATTCTGTTCGAACTAAACTTTTATTCAATTATCGACACACAGCTTTGAGGATGACGAGTTCATCGGAATCGAGTTGATCTATAAAAAGTAAAATTAACCAAGTAAATATGTAAATATTAACCAAAACAAAATAGGATTATAGACTTTTGTTAAAATGTAACTTTTAAGATAAACTTAAAAAAAAAAAGCGACAAAAAAAGTATGAAAAAAAAAATCATTAATTTATTTTATAAGTTAATGAAATACTGGTTCACAAGTGATTACCACCGAGTCAAGAATATGTAGAACAGTTTAATGTTGGAGGTTTCCAACATTTTTATAATAAAAAAAGTTTAGAACAAAAATTAACAAAAACTAAATATTTTATTTAAAAATTGTAGTTGAGGATTTTATTTCATTTTTCTCAAGTATTTTTGAATGAGATGTAATAGAGGAATATTGAACAATACGGTATTGCATTCTTGGCACAGGCATAAAAATAGTTTATTAGAGTTTTCTTAAGTATAATGCTCTAAAATTGTTTAAGTTAGTTACTAAATTTACTAAAGTTTTTTCTAAATTCTGTTTTTTTCTGAATCTGACGGAAATATTAATAAACATGCATTTATTAGAACAATAACATGAAAAGTACTTCTATAGACAAACCTATTCATGTTATTTTGAAATAAATTAATAGATTTTGTTACAGTTATATCTTTGGCTTACACATGTTTCTAACTGCTTTTATGGTTTGTAATAAATTTTTTTCAAACACACACACTCTTGATGCGTGGTTTTGACTAGTTATGATGCTCTGATTGAAATTAAACATGTTTTCTCTGGATCTTGATTCTTGGTTTCCATAAGGCAACCAGAATAGGAGAAAAATAACCACAGCTGAAGAAGAATAACCACTTTACCACAATTTTTTATTATTCTAATTTAAAACAAATTCTGGTTGTTTTAATAAAGAAATCTTGCAAAAATCGGATTTTTTTTTTATAATTAAAAAAGTTAGCTGTACTACAGATTCAAACTTTCTGAAAATTTATATTTCATGATATCGCGACGTTAGAACTATCTTGTGCTATCTCCATGTTTTTGCAAACTGAGAAAATCGGTGTCAAAGTTTGAATTTGTTCGCAGCTAAATTGAAAAAATATTTTGAGAATTTAGGTATTTCCTAAGATTTAAAAATGTTTTATTATTGATTTTTAGATAAAAAAAACTTTTTAAAATTTTTTTTATCTAAAAATTAATAATAAAACGCCCTTTTTTTCGCACCCTCTTTTGGAGATTTTTAGATAAAAAAAACTTTTAAAAATTTTTTTTATCTAAAAATTAATAATAAAACGCCCTTTTTTTTGCACCCTCTTTTGGAGATAGAACAAAATAACTTTGGTTTTTAGTAAAATTCAAAAAAATTATGTTGTTACATCATATATATTAAACATATTAAGTACATTTTTCAACAACGACATGTTAGAAATTGATGAAATTTTGTTCTACCTGCTAATTATTCTTACGCAGTACCATACACTCCTAATTTATGGGCATGGGCCCCTAATTTAACGGGACCCTTTTCAAAATATAAGACGCTTTTTGTATTACCTAAAAAATTTTTTTAAATAAAATGAGGCCCTAATTAGGAGAACTTTTAGAAGAGCCTCTAACGACACTGTTCTTACGACTTACATTTACTTTAATTACCTGTAGGCGCCGGCCCTGGACAAGACTAAGACGTCTAATTTAAAACGGAAAATTTGGCTGCGTAATAATAATATAAACGTATTAATATAATATAAACGTATAAAATAAATTATGAAAGGTATATAGGAAAGAGTTATGTTAAAAAAATGTAATAATAAAGGAAATAACATTATGTAACTATCTGATAATTCACAACAATTCAACTAATCTAATCACAAACTCCATGCAAGATGAACTTGATTTTATTTTTCTTATGCCTGTGTATCCATTAATAGAGTTTAACTTTTTATTAAAAGTTATTGCAAATATTTACAAATAAAAAATTGTTACTCAAGTTAACGTCAGGAAGGGCATCAGGTTGTGAAACATTGCTTTAACTCTTTCATAGTGGCCTTTGTCACTATGGAAAACCATCCAAACCAAACAAGTGGGGGAAAATGAATATAAAATTACAAAAAAACAAACAAAAAAAACACAAGCTAAACAAAAATTTTTATCAAGATTTCAAAATAATATTATTTCAATGTGTTTTATATTTATACTAAATAAATATTTTATTTAAATATGTTATTTATATGTATATTATTTATATTATTATATATATATAAATATGTTATTTATATTTATACTAAACATATAACAACCCTAAAAATATTTTGACTTTATTAATGTTTTGTAAATGTTCAATTTATTATTGTTTTATAAAATGCAATATCAACAGCAGGCATGTATGAATACATGGAAATGATATCATTAGCTTTTGCAACAGATATAGACTAATAAGAAGCACGAAAGCAAGCTGCCATTGGTATATTGGTATTTAATGGTTTTGCAACAATGGTTGATGCTGCTTTCTTGACAGACTTATTTATACGAGCTTGTGAATAATTATCTGAAAACAAGGTTTTAAAAAAAACCTTGGTTACTCTGTATGAAACAAAATCGGAAAAATAAATATTTATAATTACGGGAAAATTGGCAAAAGCGTAAGCGGGAATGCGAATTAAAGACATTAGTTATACAAAATTGATCATATTTATTGCTTATCAATTAGTTTAACTATTCAGTCAAAAATTCTCAAAAGCAATTTTTATAAATCTTTTTATAAATAAGAATTTATGACAAAAATAAAACTATTGGTGTTTGGAATTACCCAACCTACGTGGAGTAATTCTTAACACATCGGAGGGCAATCACAAACACTGTTGTGTAATAACGAATAAAATGTTATTTTTAATAGCTAAGCGCAAAAATTATATTATGCAACAACAACTGTTACTCAAGAAAAAGTTGCATTAAATTATCAGAAAAAGTTAAAATCAAATTATAGTGAACAACATCCGTATCTTCATTGCACTACTGCACGTTTGGAATTGAGTATGGGTTCCCTCTCAACAGTTAAAAAGAAGTTGTTGAACTTATTTTTCTATAATGCTATTTTCACAATGTTCGTAGTTACCCCGTTCTCCCCCTATTTCTCATTCATAATTAACTTTTTTGGAAATTTTTACTATTTCCATTTAATTTCTGTTATAATTTAGAGACTAGATCATTGTTCTACATTACATCTTAGTCAGTAAAGTATCATACGGACCTAATTATATTTTAAAATCACCTTAAATACTCCAAAAATGAATCAAAGACAAATTTTTTTAACTTTAAATTTTTGATTTTGATAAATACAAATTAACTTACATTTTCATCTAGATATATGTTCCCCAACGCCCATTTATTTTTCTTAATACAGCAGGAAGTAAGTGAGTTCAGGAAAGCGCGGTAGTTAAACAAAAGATCTTTGTCAACTTTTCTTACTTCAGTTGGTAATATCCCTAAATAATCATTTTACTCTAAATATACCTACCTATGCATACATACATACATACATACATACACACATACATACATGTATAGTCACGAGAAGATTTTACTTATTTTTGTATTTATTCAACAAAAATTAAAAAAAATATTTTATACTTAAAACGAACATTTAAATAGAGAAGAGAAAATGGAACCAGCAACAATAGTAAAACTAACTCCAATAGCTGCATACCAAAGGTAAGATATGGAATACCATGCTGCAAGCGATGAACTTATGCTAAACAAATTTGAAGTGCATTTGTTACAAACACTATATTTAGATTAAAAATTGTGCATTGACTTATTTAATTATCTCACTCTGGTTCTTTATAACTAGGCCGGATGATGCCACTACCTCGTTGCCAATCCATTGTTGCATTTGTAATATTGAATTCAAAACATTTATAAACATGCACAACAGCTTCTCCTTTGTTTGGTGGATAAAAAAATGAGCCAATTGCTAACCAAAATGTTGCAGAACATCCAATAAAAACTCCAAAATATGCTCCCTAAATTATTTTTTTCGTTACATCAATTAAGTTTATGAATGTTCATCAATAAAAAAAACATATAATGTTTTATTTTGTAAAATAAATAATTTAGAAGAGTTTTTTTTTTTTTTAATTTAAAGAAAGTTTTTGTGAAATATTTTTACTAATTTCTATTGTCGACGTGAAGTTAACTGTAGAAAGTTGTCATAGCGACGTGATGTCAACTGTATTGAAAGTTTTCATAGGCTATGAAAACTTTCATGTATTTTTATTGTATTTAAAGTTTTCAGAGGCTATGAAAACTTTGCTTACGTCGCTATGACAACTTTTCAAATCAGTGAAAATATGTCACAAAAACTTTCTTTAAATTAAAAAAAAAAAACTCTTCTAAATTATTTATTTAACAAAATAAAACATAATAAGTTTTTATTATTGATGAACATTTTTTTTATTGATGAACATTTTTTATTTATGAACAAAATACAGTTAGATGAATAAAAAGAAAAACATTTTGCATTTTGTCGGGGATAGTGCAAACCCGCGTAACTAGCATTGGCTACTATATTTGGATATTATTAATTTTAACACCAAATATTTATTTTTGAGATTACAAAAAACATGAATAATACTCTTTTTACTAATATGAACTCGAAATTAGTTAAATTAAAAAAAAAAAAAATTAACTTTTAAACTACTCCAGTAAAAAAAACGTACTGTAGATACGTGGTATTATAAAATGCTAGTTACGCGGTTTTGCACTATCCCCGACGATTTGTTTGTATTATTTAGTTTAATAAGTTTATACTTTGACGCTATTTCATAGGGTCAAAGTATAAATGTTATCCTTTTTTTTCGTCTAACTGCATTTTGAGTTTAATATTGATGCTTGCATTATTATAGCAAATGACTTAAATTGAAAGCATTAAAAACACAGTAAAAAAAGCATGTTAGAAATGTGGGGATGAAGAACACGTGGCTGCAAAATGCTTAAAGACGCAGGAGAATGAGTGCAGGAGAGAAATGTGCGCTACCTCGCTCCTGAACAATAGTAAAATTAGCGGATTGTCTATTATTTATCTAAAAGTTATCTATCTAAAAGTTAATGGTATGTTAGAGACAGCTATGGTAGATACGGGAGGCTCAAAGACAATCATAAACCAAAAACTGTTGTCAAGAAATCAAAGTAAATCTCAGAATCTCCCCAAAGGTAGCAACTTTTGATGATAAAATTCATCAATGTAATGAATCAGCGGTTGTCACTATTAAGGCTGATGGTATCTTGGAATGAGTTCCATTAAATTTCTAGGTGGAGTTTCTATATTCCCATCTGGAATGGAAAAGTTTGGGTTCAGCTTGTTTGGAATAGCAGTATCAAACAAAGGTAAAGACAGTAAAATTGAATGTAAAAAACAGGAGCATAAAGCAATATTTAATGATCTCGAATGGGAAGTTAAATGGAAATGGAGATATAGAGAAGGCCCCGACCAATTATTTTACAAAGTTGCCCAACACGTCATACCAAAATATGCAAGAGCAAAATATAAAAACCAACTCCAGAATTGGATCAATTGTAAATGCTTAATTGAATATGATGAAAATACGATGGGACCACCCAAAAGACAAATTTCGTTAATGGCTGTTATTCCCAACAAAATAAAGATAATAAAGTCAGACTCGCTTTGGACATGCAGAGAAGCTAACAGTTTTATTAGGACGTATACAAGATATGCAAATGTATGTTGAGAAGCTGAGGAAATGGAGATTATTGGGAAAAAAATCAGCAATTATTGGTTTACACAAGACTTATCTTTAGTTTAAAACTGAGGAATCTCCATTTCATTCCAAACATTCCTATTTCAAAACAAAAAGTATTGTTTGACACGACTTGGTTTTACATTAAATGATCTGCTAATGATCCTGAAATCTGTTGTGAGTGTTATTATTGATCAAGACGAATTGATGAAGAGGGGACACTCACATGGGCAACATTTCCGAAAATGAGGAAGTAGTGAGTCTTCATTATGTCAGAAAATATTTCGAAAATTATGGTTTGGAGATTAAGGAAGGTGAACAGATTGGACGTAATGGGGTTTGTATATTTGAATTACTTTTGTGCAAGGTTGGTGGCATGTTAATGTGGTCCTGAGAGAATCGAGTTAATACGATTCCGAAAAAGTTAAACAGAAAAGTAGTGTTTTTCGTTTGCCAGTTTGTGATTGGTAAAAACAAGAGTCGTTAGTTTGACGAAGGGTTGGGATAATAAAGTTTGCCATGAAAATTTAAAATGTATACTTCAAGAAGTTTATGATGAGGTGGGAAAGTGCTTATGGTGATTGGGCTGTACATGTCGGCGAGGGTGAAGTGTGCGTTGAAGATTATTTATTGGCAATTAATACTCATTCAAATTGGTAAAACTACTGTTAAGGATGTAACATGGATACGAAAAAAAATGTTTGATGATACATAAACATGGCGGAGCTAGATTCCATAATTCAAAGAATAAATATGGTTTTGACGTGGAAACTAAAGAAAGGGAATATTTTTTACAGATTCCGCGTCAAAATTAAAATCAAAAGCAATGAGCAAAATGTTGATTTCAAGAAGATTAAGCATTCTGCAACAATTAATTAAAGAATATGTTCCTAATGTTAATGTAAAACTTGTTCCTTCAAAAGATAATTTAACTGACGCATTGACAAAAGTTCAAAGTAGATGGTTGTATAAATTTAAAAAGGTTGAGCATTAGAATAGCCCCGTTGGAGTAGTAGCTGTAGAGGCTGAGTTCATTTCTAGCATACACGAGAAAACCGGAAATTTTGGAGTGAATCAAACATTGTTAGTAAAGTAATTCCAACCACTGCCAAGAATGACGTTCGAGCTTTAAATAAAAATTCCAAACCATTTCAGTCAATAGATTCAGCACTTGTACAATGGGTGAAGAGAAAATTGAACGCTAAAGAAAATTGTTAAAGACTGGCCACGAATATCATGTATTTTGGCAGAGATTTACTCTGATTCAAAATACGCAATGTGACGATAACATTCTTGACAACATAAAGTTTATACGGAAGTACTGCTATTACTCGAATACTTCGCCTCATAATATGGTTTGCAGATAATGTTGTTTGGGGGCAATGCCCATGGTTAGGACCTGTACAATGGGTGACCCTAACCAGGGTTAGTTTTGTGGTGTTACTCCTAGTGTAACTATGGAACTAGACTGAGCAGTAAGATATAATAAAAGAATGAAGAACAAAGTGAGGACATAGTGTCAGTAAACTAGTAGAGAATAACAATATAGTAGAAGTGTAGAGAATGAAGAGAGGATTATAAAAAATTATAAAAGAATAAAATAATATTAGTAAGAGTCTAAAAAGGTTATATAATATAGTGAAGTAAGAAGTGTGCATAAAGGTGTGGTGTATGTGTGCAAAGGGTGTGTCGAAAATGAGTCGTTGCTCACTAGTCCACTTGGTCCCCATAGTAACATGGGGCCGAATATTTTAGGGTTAGTTTTGTTGTGTTACGCCATGTGTAACATTGGAATTAGACTGAGCAGTGAGTACATAAGGAAGATTAGGAGATCAAAGTAAGGACATAGTGTCAGTATAAAAGTGAAAAGTAATAATAACGAGAGAAAGGAAGTGCAAGAGAATAGTGGCTAAAATACAAATAAAAATAATAAAATAAATAGTAAAATAGTAAAATAATAATAATAATCATAAGAGTAAGTGTGTTGTTATGTATCTAGATGTGTGGATGACGACTGTGATGGGGTAAGGGTGGAAGCGCGCAATGTGTAAGTAGAGTGGGGTCATTTAAGAGCCAAAATATGTAACTACAACATCCCTTCATCTTATCAGGGCCATGTCAGGACGTCAGGGCTGTTTCGAAGAAGTTGGTACCAACAACTCCATGGCCTCAGTTACTGTAGAGGACAGGTCCACTTAGAATTACTGTAGGACCAGAATCCCAAGTGGACCTGTGGATTGGCAGTTTAATGAAAAAAATGAAATAAAATGTATGCTTACTATTTCCATGATCATATCGGTGCAAGGATGTGTGCTTTGGGATTCGCTTAAGTCAATAGAGAGTAAATCCTGGTCACTCATCTCCGGTGCAAGCACCGCAGGATTTATGTTCATAAGTGCTATGTCGCTCATTTCAGGTAGAAATGCGTCTAAGTCTAAATTTATGAGTTCGTTATCACTAATATCCAACGGCATTTCAAGGGATAAAACCACTAGGTATAACCAAAAGAGAACTTTATATACAAGATTATATACAACGGTGAACAAAATAATTCCTTCTTAGTGTAACAAAACTCTATATACAAAATTATTTACAACGGTGAACATGGTGAACTCCCTCTTTAAATCAGAATACTCTATATACAATCATCAGCCATCTTCAAAGCAGCTCCTTCTATAAATCCAAATACTCTATATCAGCAATTTTCGACTTAAATAGCTCCTACTTGGTATATCAATACTCTATGCAATAGTAAGACATAACTTTGTTTCCTGCTTTTTTTCGTAATTCATGTCTTGTTCCTTATCCGTTCGCGTACATTTCCGATAAGTGGATTTTGAGAACATAGCGCCAAAATTAAACTGGTTGTTTCCATGTTTGTCCGAAAATTCGAGAATGCGCATACGTCGACTGATCCGACTAGGGATGGGCGCAACAGAGTAGACATATACCGAATGACTACAGTTGGGACACGCGTAATGGAGTTAACTCGTTAGCGCGAAGGGTTTTGGTTGGGTCAGGCAGTCTACAGAAACCCTCTATGCTAAATATATACCTCAACGACAAAAGTAGGGATAGGTGCAGTAGCGTATATATAGACTAACCCAAATAGGGATTGGCGCAGCGGATTGTGCATACACAGACTAGCTAGACTAGAGATTGGCGCTGCATAGTGCGCATGCATAGACTGACTAAAATAGGAATAGGCGCAACAGAACTATATAGCAAATACAAATGGTTTTGGTAAAGGTAGGCAATATATAGAG